GGAAGGAAGGAAGGAAGGAAGGAAGGAAGGAAGGAAGGAAGGAAGGAAGGAAGGATAAATGAATGAATAGCCCCCTGCCACCCCCAAAGAAAGGCAAGAGGGATTGCAGATGTGACTCAGTGGGAGGCTGACTGGTCAATACAAGAAAAGACTGAGAAAAGTTTATGAGCATACTGTTGCAGTGGGGTATGGTGACACCCTTTAACCACAGCATTCCCACGGAATCTATGCAGAGAGCAGCAGAACTTCAACAGTTAACTTGATGGACAGCAAGGACACGCTGATTCAAAGTTCAGTAACTGCCTAGAAAGAGTGGCAGATAAAGGGCAAGGCACAAGGTGCCCTGAGGTCACCTGCTGTGACTGCCGATGCTGGGAGGCAGAGGAGAAGGAAGCACTTATGTCATGCATTCTCACACATACTGAAGGGTCACAGCATTTTAAACAGACACTAGGCAATGACAGACATTCAGAAATGAATGTGGTCCCCGTCACCTACTGCTGGACAGTCTTAAAGGGAGGCAGACTCATTATGGTGGTATGGAAGACTCTGTGGCAGTAGTTCTCAACATTCTAATGCTGCGACCATTTGATACAGTTCTTCATGCTGTGGTGACCCCATCCATAAAATTATTTCACTGACACTTCATAACTAATTTTGCTACTGTTATGAATTACAACATAAATATCTGATATGCCAGATATCTGATGTGACTCCAAAGGGGTTATGACCCACAGGTTGAGAACCACTGCTCTATGGTGAGAGAACTAAACAGGCTTTAGAGAAAAGAGCCTTTGAGTGGTCCTAACAACTAACTGTGCAAGCAGGCATTAAGACTCTAGAAGCAGCCAGGCTGCTGAGGCGCATGCCCTTAATCCCAGCACTTGGGAAGCAGAGCCAGGTGGAGCTCTGTGAATTCAAGGCCAGCCTGGTCTACAGAGTGAGATTCAGGACAGGCACCAAAGCTATACGGAGAAACCCTGTCTCAAAAAAAAAAGGGGGGGGGGGCTCAGCGGTTAAGAGCACCTGCTGCTCTTCCAGAGGTTCTGAGTTCAATTTCCAGCAACCACATGGTGGCTCATAATCCTCTGTAATGAGATCTGGCACCCTTCTTTGGCCTGCAGGGACACATGCAGGCAGAACACTGTATATACAATAAATAAATAAATAAATAAATAAATAAATAAATAAATAAATACTCTCGAAGCATTTTCAGCAAAATTAAAGCCAGACTTAGGAAGAGAGAGCAGAGACTGGAGACAAGGAGCCGGTTAACAATAAGTGGGAGGAGATGCATACAACCCAACACCAAGGCAGGGGACAAGGCCATTGACAAGCGAGAAGAGTTAACACACGGGAAGGAACAGACCACTGCAGGTACAAACGTGTAGATACTCACTACACGCAAAGCAGAGACAGATGCTCCAAGGGACCCAGACTCCTGGAGTTGGACACCAGCAGATTAAAGAGCAGGTCGCTTCTAGAGCTCTATTCGATTTGCTAATTGTACTAAGCTATTTGTTACTAAACCTGCCCGTTCCCTTCAGATCTCCTATTACAGCTCACTGAAGAACTGTTAACATTTCTATTAGTCACTTGCTGAGATGTTACTGTAGAAAAGGCCAGCTAAGTATTTTCAAGCTTATACGTCAACCTAATTAACACACTATCATGAATCTGACATGCTAACTAAACATGGAATCCAATCCCTGGCTCTTAAAAAAGTGATTTTCTTTTAGATCCTTGGAAGCCACCAGGAACCTTATCTGGTCTGGTTGAGTTTGGGCCTGTGATGACTGCACAGCCAAGATGTGTTCAACACCAGTGCTATTCAGAGTCACATATGCAGGCCTCTCCTTTCTTCATCTGAAAGACGGGTCTCAGTCTGAGCTTTCTGCTGTCAGTGTGCCTCTTGGGAGAATAAGAACTATCCTGAAGTACCATAGCCCACCCTCAAATAAATGAATCAACTTTTAAGTGGGGGAAAAAAAAGATATGAACCAATGGAGGACATGTCTGCAGGTTTCATGCCCACCTAGCACACGTGATCCAGCTTACCATCTGGTAGTTCATCTTCAGCCTGTATGCCACACAGAGTCCCACTGTATGGAGGGAGCTGTGTAAGAAATCAGAAAGCAAATCTTAACAGAGGATTAAAACCCAACATAAATCATTGCATTAATTCAATATTTCCTGTAAGTTCCATCTCATGACATCACTTTCCCAGAAAGACACACATAAAATCTGGTAAAATCTGAATCCAACAGTTTAGGAGTGCTTTCAATTATTTACCATTACTAAATACACTGAAATGAGGCTGGAAAACTGAAAACAGACTCCTGATGTGTACAGGCTACACCGAAACCCTTCCAACACATCCTGCCTGCCTTTCTTCCTTCCACAGGATGTATTACGTCAGTGGTGAGCCCAGATCCTGTGCTGTCCACCCACTGGTGGAAATGGCCGTTCTTGGTTGTTCAGTGGCGAACAGCAACACAGCCGGCAGATGTAGAGCCCGGGCTTTGAACAGATGGCAGAAAGAAGCCCATAGGAAGAAAGGGCCTGGAAACTGTGGCTCCCTTCTTATACAGTGTCCCGTGCAACTAAATTAATAGTTTGAAATCACCTTTCTTGTTTGGAAGAAAGAAAGCATATGCCTGGCTACGTCATGAAAACCACAGAAATTTTATGAACCTCTCAAATACTTCTCCCTGCCAACTCCACATTTATGTAAGAGCTGGGGATGTTTGAGAGGTGAGTAGACAGAACAAAACAACACTTGCTGCAGCATTTCCGTCTGGTCACTAACATCCAGACACAGCCCAATAGTCTGTGGAGCCTGGGGTGTGCAGCTTAAGGTCTCTAGCTGGTGCTCATGCCAATCACTATCTGCTGTTTTAGTGGTCTCCAATGGACTCTTTTTTTTTTTTTTTTTTT